GAGAGGTAGCATGGAACGACGCTCCTGAATCTAACACCCAAGATTCCTCCTTGCTCTCCAAAGAGCATATCAATGCGTCGTCTCCTCCTGAAGTGGATGTGACATTCACCTCTGCCTTTGCCTCCTTCTCTTTCTGTGCACTCTTGCACTGATTCTTGTAATGCCCGGTCTTTCCACAATTCCAACACTCGATAGCCTTCGAGCTGTTGCTTGGATTCCTTGATTTGGACCTCCTGTCCTTTGATCTACCTCTGAAGTTTGATTTTCCTCGTCCGTTTCTGGTTGAATTTCTACCTCTTGACTCTGTATGCAATACTGAAGAGGTTGTAGCTTCACCCGTTTCTCTCCGTCGGATCTCCTCACTGAGAACCAAATCACGAACGTCGCCGAACTTCAACTTTTTCTTTCCCGACGAGCTACTCACAGCTGTGACTGTAGCGTTCCAACTCTCTGGTAGGGAAGACAACAATATCAACGCCCGAACTTCTTCATCAAACTCAATCTCAACTGAACTCAATTGGGTTGTAACCGTATTAAGTTCATTGAGGTGTTGTGCTACTGACGCGCCTTCCGCCATTTTCAGATTGAATAACCACCGCATTAAATGAACTTTATTTGCGGCTGATGGCTTCTCATACATATTTGAGAGAGCTGGCATAAGACCTGCCGTGGTCTTCTCCTTCGCTATGTTGAACGCAACATTGCGAGTCAACGTCAATCTGATAACTCCGAGGGCTTGTCTATCTAGAAGGTTCCACTCTTCTTCCTTCATAGAATCTGGCTTCTTCCCCGATAGTGGTTGATACAGATTTTTCTGATACAGATAATCCTCTATCTGCATTTTCCAGAATCCGAAATCTGTTCCATCAAATTTCTCAAGTCTCATTTTTGCCTCATCTGTGGCCATGGCTCCCACTTGAATCTGACTTGTTCTAGATCGTTTCACGCTCTGATACCAGTTGTTGGGAATCTAACGCCGAAATCCCTAATGCAACAGAAACGCAGCTGCGATTTCAATGGAGAGGAAAAGAACGCTGCTGCGTTTCTGGGAGTTCCGCCGCCAGAGAAAATCGGGGAAGGGGGGAGAAGCTCAGCGCCGCACAGCTCTAAAAAACCCTAGGGCATCGGGTTTCTTATATAGGGGAAGATGACAGGCTGGCGACAACCTGTCGCCAGCGTCGAAGGGTGCGTTCGTCGGGGTCGCGTTCGTCGAGGGGTGCGTTCGTCGGGGTCGCGTTCGTCGAGGGGTGCGTTCGTCGAAGATCGCGTTCGTCGAGGGGTGCGTTCGCCTGCGTCATCTGGAGCTCATCGGAGCTCCTCGCCGGCGGAGGTTGGTTTCCACCCCCAAATCTAACATGATTCAGGTTTCAATTGACGTCAAAAAAATATTTTCGTAACTCCTAAGACATAGTGTTGAACAAAGAGTCAAAAACGTTTATTATTTCTTTGCAAATGACGTAACTGACAATGAGCTATAGCTTGTTTTAAATAAAACAACGATAAGAAGGTATTATTCTGCTGTAAGAAGATATATATAATTTCAAGTAAGGAGCTAAAATTTGCACAGTCAACATCTTTGAATTAAGGTTATATATATTATTCCGATACTTATTTCTAAGGTTTAAATTTCAATAAACCCCATTAAGATTTAACCTTCAACACATAACTCCAAAAGGTTTGAAACTCTCATTAAAATTTCCAATAAGTTTGGAAAATTTAGAAAATCCCAAAAATGTTTTGATTTTTTACACTTAACACCAATAATGACATTAGCCATATTTTGAGTTTCCAAACAGGGAATATCACATTCACATAACATCATAAAGTAGTCGTTGGTTATTTTAATCTAGTGGGGGAGAATGTACAGATACATTAATTAAATATGCAAAGTTTGGAGTACATCGGAAAATGTAATAGATTCGGGGATATAGGGAAAATACCCTTTTTAGTTTTGTCCCCCGCATCATTATAATTGCTAATTCCTCCAATTTGCTTTACTTCCTTTAAATTTTACCCGCTCGACTCAACTACTATTGAAAATTTCCTTTGGCTTTACCAAGTTTGGTGCATCAAAACGCTTGAAATTCTAGGATCCACAAGTTACCCACCATTAGGTCTCCTGTCAATGTTTCAAATAACTTGTTAGCCAAATTCAGAAGGGGGGAAAAAAAGAAACACCTCATGGCAGCATATCAATGGATGAACTAAAACAAAAAATTAAGGAGAAAGAGAGAGACAATTAATAAATGTAGAAACTTATGAAATTGAGCTTGTAATGTGGATCATACAAATGTCTACGCTTGGCTAACGTCTTGTTTAATGTAAGTCCAACAAGAAATTCATTAGGATTCCAGAAGTCAACAATTTGGGCATATTCCAAGATATATCCGGCATTAATTAGATTGATGGTCTCCATTGGCTAAACGACAACGATTGGAAGTTCTTTTAGAACACAACAAGATTGAAATCTGGATCAAGTAGGACTTCAGAAACACAGATCAATACTACAGAAAATCTTACCGCGGCGTAAGTTATCCTACTGCAACAGACACCACAACATCCAATACGTAACGTATAGCCTTTATCCGAAGTCAACCCTTTTATTTGGCTTTCAGTTTAAGTTCCCTTGAGCACAAATCTCTATAGTTGAGGCAGTTTTATCAGAATTTTTTTTAAAAAGATCTGTTCATGATCATTCATTTCGTTTATATTAGTGTAATTATTTTTTTGGAAAAAAACGGAAACTTGGTTAAAGAATTCCTACTAAGGGCGTGTTTGGATTGGCGGTAACAAGGTGTATGGGAAGTTATGGTAGGATTTAACTTTGTTTGGGGGATCAAATTGGGCTAGGTATTGGGAGAAAGAAAGGAGGAGAGAAAACCCCTTTTTTTTCTTCCTCCCACTTTGGGGTGTAATCAGGGGTGAAGGTAAAGGAGGTGAACAAAGCAATTGTAGAGAGACAAATTTACCCTCTATTAAGAACTAACGACAACATAACTTAATAACATGTAGGGGTATTATGTCATTTATATATATTCTCTTCTCTTCCCTTCCCTTCGTTTTATTACACTTTCCAAGCGGGATGAAATAAGTTCCTCTTGATTCCCCTTACTAAATTCCCAAACAAGTTGTACATGTTACCTTCCCTTCCCTTAGGGCCCGTTTGGATAATAGAAGTATTAGAAGTAAGAAGTAGGTTATAGAAGTAACTTTCAAAGCTATGAAGTAGGAAGTAGTGGAAATAGTATTTTATTTTTTTTTGTTTGTTTCATATATTTTTAGAAGTAATAGAAGTAGAACTTCTTCCTCTTCATTTACTTTTTTTGTTTGGATAACATTTGAAAATATTACTAGGAAGTAATTTTATCATTGAAAAGTTGTTAGAAGTAACTAATAAAGGAAATATTAAAAAAAAATTATTTATGTCTTAATCCATATGCATTTCAACTACTTCTGAGCTACTTCTGGTTATTGAGGATTGGAAAAATATTTTGGAAGTAAGGATGACACGTAGGCGCCACATAAGCATTTAGAGAAGTGATTGGAAAAATATTTTGGAAGTAAGGATGACACGTAGGCGCCACATAAGCATTTAGAGAAGTATTGGAAGTAAGTTTTTCATGACACGTAGGCGCCACATAAGCATTTAGAGAAGTATTGGAAGTAAGTTTTTCAGAGAACCAAACATATTTTTTTGCTTGGAAGTAGCAGAAATAGTTTTTACTTTTTTTACTTCAGCTACTTTACAATTACTTTCATGCAAACAAACAGACCCTTAGCTTCTCCTAGGTTCCTTTAACTTTCCTTCACTCACATCAAATCCAAATAAGTCCTTGAGCACAAATTTCTATAGTTGAGGTAGTTTTATCATAATATTAAATAAAAGATTTGTTCATGATCATTCATTTCGTTTATATTAGTATAAATTTTTTTGGCAAAAATGGATATTCGGTTACAAATTCCTACGTTTAAGGGTTCTTCATCCCAATCCCAGTCTCAAGGAAGTCGGCAAGGGTATTTGAACCTAGAACTATTGAGAGCACAGAGCAAACTCAACCAACCATCCTAGCGAACCCCCTTGGGTATAATTACCAGTTATTTACCTAAATAATATATCAGCTTAATTGTATCTTACAAAATTATAGTCAAATTGAGTTTTCCCCAACTCTAATCTCATGTGGAAGAGAAGGTAGTTTCTTCTTATTTTTCTTATCTTCTAAATACAATTTGGAGATGACTACTCCTATTACCATACACCGCAAATCAGTTAAACTCCTTATTGTTAGAATATAAAAATATCTCTCCATCTTCATCACAACTTTGGAGATTTGGTGAAGTATCACAGACTTTAAGATAGTATCAATGCAACCTATGTTCAAATCCCACCAAGCACAAATTTAAAGCGGGTTTTTTAAATTTTAACACCATTGCATGAGCCTCACATGTTACTATGTTCAGGTTTTGGCCCATAAAAGGAACCCTCAACCTTTATGGACTAAAACATGGTATTAGAACAACCTATGTTCAAATCTCACCGGCTATAAATTTAAAGTGGGTTTTCTAATAAAAAAAATTGCACTATTTCATGAGTCCAGGTTTTGGGCCTTGAAAAGGGCACTCAACCTACCTAATGTTTATGGATTTTAAGACTTATAATTCTTAACAATTGGGAACAAACTTTGAGAGGAAATTCGCTCTAAAATAATATTTGAGTAGAATAACTCATTACTTCTGTGATGCATCCCCACTTATATTAGTGTATATGAAATAATGAGAGACGATAGCATGTCTAGCACATATCTCACATGCTTATCAAAACAAAGTAAATTGTGACTATCAATCGAAGACAGACGTTATCATATAAACATCACCTACTTATATAAAAGAAATCTATTTAAGAAATCTATTTCTTTGACAATAATTGTAATTACTGACCAAAACAAACACTCTCATATGATAACTGTGAGCTTCGAGATATACAAAAGTATTGCTTCAACAAATTCATCCATAAAATGCTAAACTAAATTTATTTACCGGTATGAGGATAAATAAGTCTATCCAATAACTGGAATATATGATTCTCAACCAAAATGTGGGGAAAAAAGACTGTCTCTACAACTAATAAGAACAATGTAAGTTTACATCCAATATTATGAATAATATTTAGCAGACTCATCAATAGCGTGGCAAAAACGGTTATAAAACCACATTGAATCAGCTTCTACAGCATAACCATCCTGATTCCGGTGCCAACTATAGTAGGCATGAGTTCTGTTCTTGATATCGAAAGTGGCATGTCCAAAGCTTGCTTCTCTATACGCAGAGTAGCTGGGTTGTGGCTCTGTCATGCTGCAAATTAAATGGAAATAAATGCTCATCAATTTCAGGTGTAAGTTTCAAGTGTCCAAGTTACATCACGCAAATTACAATTGAAAGATAATCCTTCAAGGTGGATACTTATTTTTGGGTTAGTTTTGCAAAACCATCATGCACTATTAGGGGTTTCGCACACACCATAGTTTTTCTAATTAAAGAAAAATATTTTTTTTTTTAAATTTCCTACGGTAACAGAGATATGTTGGTGAAAGTTGGCATCACATGCACACACGCGAAAAAAAATTAGGACATTTTTTTCTTGTTTAGTTTGCTTAAGCATAGGATAAATTTCAAACGCTTCGTCATTAGGATAGTTTTCTGATATAGTATGTATTATCTCTAATAAAGCTATTTCATAATAGTTTATCCTAGCTCTTTTCTGAATAAACTATAAGAAAAAAGGGTTGGTTACTATATAGACATACTTAGTGGCAAGTCCTTCGAGGTTTCCTCCATCACCGATAGTTATGTACACAGGAGCCGATTGATCAGGAGTTGGCATGCATTCCCCATTCACAATGTTGTATGCGATATTTGATATGCGTTCCTGAATTTAATAGGTACAAATTGTGTCAGAAAAAGAAATTATAATAATGCATTACCAAAGGTTAGAAAAACAGTAGAGATACTTACGCTGCGTTCATAGGCATGTACATGACCTGCAAACACGACATCCACTTTATATTTTACAAACCATGATTCAAACATAACTCTCATTGATTCTCCTTCCATGTAATGATAGTTGTAGCTATTGTACCATGGCGAATGCAAAAGAACAATAAGCCACGGTGTTTCTGTTCTGTTAACTTTTGGCAGCTCAGCTTCAAGCCACTTGTATTGAGGAGTGTATTTACCTGGAAGGAGAAAGGATATACACTTGTAAGTACCATTGGAGAAGGATTTACACAAGACTATATGTATTTCTTGATGTTAAGAATGTTTCTAGTCAAAAAATGCAAAATTTTACATTCATTTACATTGAATTGCTACAATTTAAAAGCAAACAAATGGACAATGTAAGTTTGATAATACAAGTTTATTCTGAATAGTAAGGATATTATAATATGAATGGCTATTACTAAATATCTCTAACTAACGGTTATTAATGCTCAAATACCAAACAGATTTCTGAGGAATTCATACCGTAAGCTGAATATGATGCAAGAACAATGATATGTGCTGAGGCCCGCCTGATGGAGTACCAGAATGGGGATGTGCTTCCAGAAGCTTTATAGGGAACATGGTACCTATGCCTATATGGCTTGAATGGCTTGGTCTCACCCTGCAAGAAAATTATGAACATTTGTAATGATTAATTTCTAAATAAAAAACTGCCAAATCTCCATACTCTGTCAATGTAGTTAAATAGAGAGCACTAGATTTTTTTTTCACTACTAAAGATGGTTAACTTTTTTATGGTCAACAACGAAGCCAAAAGCCCAACATAAGAATCAGTATGTTCTTGGAAATAGCATCACTTATTACTACAGACATGTGCATGATGGTCTAAGATGTGATATGAACAGAGAGTTTTTTTTTCAGATTCCTCAAACAAAACATCAATCCTGAAACTTTCAGTGGAATTGGAAACTATAACATAGAGGAAGAGTATAATGGGTTTTTTTTTTTTTGTACTTACGATTTCAGGAGCAAAATCAAGCTCATGGTTTCCTGCAGTCCAAATCCAAGGCTGATAAGCTGTGCTCCTCTCCACAAATCTCCCCCAAGTATCCCATCTCTCATTATCATGATTCGGGTAATTATCCGCATAAGAGAGATCACCAACAAACAGCACAGTCTGTCCTTTAATTGGGTTATTCTCGTAATGAGTAAGTGTACTGTTGGAATCATAACTCTGCCCAAGATCGCCTGATTATAATGTTAAATAATGAGAAATAAGCATGTACCATTATAGAATCAATGTGGGTACATCAGCCAAACTAATGATCATTATAAGAAGCACCGCGTCTTATTTCTTTTAGTGCTAGAATACATATTTTATTAAATGGGTATGGCTACTTCGAATTTAACATTATCAAAATGTAAGTGATGTAAACAGATATAGTCTTGTTACCAACAACTAGAAAGGTGAGATCTTGCATAAAAACAAATGAGAAAGCTAGCGATAAAGCCAAATGCAGAAGGTTCATCTCATAATGTCCTATTGAAATAATGACTGTCCTGGAAATATGATATGGTGAGGAACGTGGATCAAAAGAAGCACAAGGGGATCTATTCACACAAGACAGAAATACATCTATCAAAATATATGACCATGCAAAGAATAACTCCAATTCTTTCTTCTTTTGGTAATGTAATGAAAGGTTCATTAGAAGATATGGCTACTTCGAATGTATGCATATTACATTATCGAAAAGGCAATTGATTTAAGGTCATATAGTACCATTACCAATGATTATAAAGGCGATATCTTGCATAAAATAAACGAAAAAGGGTACCTATAAGGCCAAAGGTATAAGGAACATCAGGGCCAACTTGAGGAGGAGTAATGAACCAAAATCTTCTAGGTGAATGATCGATTCCAACCTCATAGTAATATTTCACGTTGTGCTGCAAAAGAACAAATGCTCTTCAACTCCAAATTCCAAAAAGAAATTACCCCTAGAAAGGAGTCATAAATTTGCTAAATAAACCACCTTCAATCTTCGTAGAGTACAATGATGGATAAAGCCTGAAGTGTAGTTATAGTATGTATAGTTAGTAACTCTGCCTTCAGCTGAGAACTCAAGATTGTGCTCGGATGTGCCGTAGAGTACTTTGCTTGAACCTCGCTCATCTTGGGTCACCCATGATATTGTCATGGCTCCACCATTAAGGCTACCTTGAGTTATATGAACCTTCAGAAATTAAAAAGCTCACCAAATTTATATATGAACAGCAAAGAATTATGTAGTTGATATATGAACTCTTAAGCTATAAACACTTGCATTGTCAGCATCTAATGAAGAGTCAAAGCATATGATTAAAGGTATACGAACCTAAAAGGTTTTAGGTGCAACGCTACAACTTGTACAAGCTAGAAAAGTGATCATCATGATTAACATACCAAAGTGGAAACTAGAAGTGGCATAAACCAATAAAATAAAGCAAAAATTGACGAGAATAAACGAATCCAAAAAAGATGAGCAGACGATGGGCAACAGAATCAAACATCACTGAACAAAAGGGGTAGCAATCCATTGAGTGTAATATGGTATAAAAGAGTAACAAATTAAGATAAAAAATCATTGGTCGTGAAACAAACAGAACGAGAGCCTCAGGTTTTGAGGAAAAAGTGCATACAGGCGACCCATAAAAAATTGAGTTAAACCAAAGCAAAACAAAATCGAGAGTACGTTGCCCATAAAAAACTGTGATCCCCCAAAAACAGTTCTAATCTACGAACGAAAGACCCAGAACGGAGCAGAACAAGATTTACAGACTACCCAATTGGAATAAAAATTAAGAATAAAATCAATAAATTCCAAATAGAAAAAGAAATAATCAAAGCATGGGTTTTCTTCACAAAACAAATATAAATCACCTGCTGAGGTGCATTGTAACCAGGAGGCACTCTGAAGACATCACTATCCAGTGGCATATCAATGGCCTTCTCAACTTTCCTAACAAAAGAACTCGTCTTTCCTCCATTACAATTACCAGCAAAGCTCAAAACTAAAGCAAGCAAAAGAGGGAGACGATAAAAATAATAACAGTAATTAGAAGAAGAAGAAGAAGGAGAAGAAGAACCCATCTCCCTCTAATCTCTTGGGTATTAGTTGCTCTGGGCTAGCACACGCCAAACGCTGGCTTAAATAGAGAAGCAAAGAGTCATGATTTAAGGGGAATATCCTGAAAAGGTTCGAATTATAGAGGTGTTGAAATTATGGATGGATAAAGAATGGTAGGATTATTAATGCAATTACAAAATCTATGCATAGGAGGGACAAACGTAATTAGTGAAGAGAGAGAGAGAGAGAAATTGTCGAGGAGGAGAGACTCTTTTACTCGGCTTTTTATTAGAAAATACGACATATGGCCCATCATGGGGAGGACAAAAGAGGGGATTAGGCGGAGGCGGCTGGATTATGAATCTCTTAGTACTCTTGTAACATATATACCAGAGTTTTTATTGTCTCTTTTTTGCTAAAAACAAACAAATTTTACAATTTTGTCCTAATACAGATTTTGTGTTCTGATTCTCATATATGCTTTAGTACAGAACAAGAATTTTATAATAATCATACTTTCTTTAAAAACATGACTTTGGTAAAATCTTTTGGTACACAAAAATACCATTAACTCAAATACTAATCCATAGACCTAAATTATCTAATCCAGCTTCCTTTTAACTAACCTCCAATCAAAATTTTCGTTTAACTAACCAACTTTTGATATCTAATATGCATGTATATTATTCAATTATCTCATAGTTTGGCGAGATTTTTTTTTTTTAAATTGTTATAGCCACTTTTGCATGTTAACCCTTCAGAGTTGAATTTGTTTGTTATATCATTGTAGAGTTACTATTATCATAGAATTTTCTAATAGACCACGTACCTTATATATATTATATATATTGCTCATCTTGCACCCGTGAAGATAAATGCAAACAAATTAATTAAGCCCTAATTAAGCTTGTTGAATATTATTATTTAAATAGAACTATCTTTATAATTGTTATCCTCTCACATGCAACATAACGTACCAATATATATAAACCAAGAAATTACAATAATTTTCTTAGCACATTCGTCTCCTTCAACAAGTATGTGTCTTTGTTATTTTCTTCTTATTAGGTTAGATTAGATTATTTTTAAGGCAATTAATTATATTGTATGTTTGTATATTTTATCTTTTTTAAGATTAAGAAATTGTAGCAATTTTCACAGCACTTTCATCTCCTTCAATAGGTACACGTATTTGTTGTTTTCTTCTTATTAGATTAAATTAGATTGTTTAATCAATACGCATGTATATTATTCAATTATCATATGCATTTTCTTCTTATTAGATTAAATTAGATTGTTTAATCAATACGCATGTATATTATTCAATTATCATATGCATGTAGAACCAATATATGCGTATCAATACGCATGTATATTATTCAATTATCATATGCATGTAGAACCAATATATGCGTTTAAAAAAATTTTAAGAAGTATTTTTTAATTCTATATCTTGATTGAGGACAATGTTATATGTATAAGCACGAGTTCGTGAAAATATTTTGGTAGACAAAAATACCATTGGAATTCAAATACTAATCCATAGACCTCAATTATCTAATCCCGCTTCCATTTAACTAACCTCTAATAAAAAATTCCCCTTATATATATTGTTCATCTCGCACTCGTGAACATATATGCAAACAAATTAATTAAGCCCTCATTAAGCTTGTTGAATATTATTATCTAAATAGAATTCTATTTATAATTGTTATCGTTTCACATGCAATATAACGTACCAATATATATAAGCCAAGAAATTACAATTATTTCCATAGCACTTTTATCTCCCTCAATAGGTGTGTACATTTGTTATTTTCTTCTTATTAGATTAGATTAGATTATTTTAAGGTAATTAATTATATTGTATGTTTGTATGTTTCTTTTTTTTAGATAAAGAAATTGTAATAATTTTCACAGCACTTTCATCTCATTCAACAGATATGTGCCTTTGTTATTTTCTTCTTATTAGATTAGATTAGATTGTTTAATCAATACACATGTATATTATTCAATTATCATATGCATATAAAACCAATATATGCGCTTAAATTTTTTTTTAAAAAAGAATATTTTGAATCCTATATCTTGATTCTGGATAGTGTTATATATATGCCACAAGCCAAGTAGAGAGATTTCTCTCTCAGTTTCAAAGAGTATATTGCATAGAACATCCTGAAACTTAAGGGTACTTTCCATGAAAGCCCCTAAACGTTCCTAAACTTTCTAGAAACCCCCAACTTAACATCATCTATACAATATTATAAATGAACAAGAAACCTCTCTATGATAAATAAAGAAATCATTATTTACATATTTTGGTTGCTTGTGATTTTTTTTATGTCAAGAAACCTCTCTGTGATAAATAAAGAAATCATTTACAATATTATAAATGAACAAGAAATCTCTCCTTTGGTCAAGGGATTGGCTATTTCGTAGGTACGCTCGCCGTATGGATCTTCTCCTTCGTTGGGCAGCGTTCTTTTTGTCCTGTTTCAAGGCCTTGGCAATATCATCAGCATTGGTTAGACTTTCCTCCGCCATGGACCTTTTTATGACCTGTTACATGCTGTGTCGACTCGGGTGTGGAGCTTTTAACTCGTTGAACGAGTTTGGCAAAGTCGGAGCTCATTCCTTCAGAGGAGTGGCTGTTTAAGCAATCTTGACCAAAGGATAGGACTTTCTTCGGTATTATAGCAACAATTGGAGTTTTGATCTCTTTGGAGATCTTACGGATATTACGCCTAGCCTTGGGGCTAAGCGATCCAGAGGAGAGGACTTCCTTGTACTTGGCTTGATCGAACTCTAACACAAAAGTTTTGACAATTGTTCCAGCGAGGTTGACATCGGATTGTACCACCACTTCTTCATCAGAGAAGCTAGTTCCCAGCAGAATCGCTATCTTTTGTTTGTTTAAAAATTTATAATAAGAAATGAAAGAATTGAATTTGATTTATTCCCTCTAACTACTTAGAAAAAAAATGTTTACAACTCTCTCGATCTCTAACTGATTACAATTTGAATTTTCAATTACAAAAAAGAAGAGGATCAACATAAATCCTCCCCTTTGTTTAATTCTAGATTCTTTACGGTGGCGATGGAGTGCCTCCCTTGAATGCTCACGTCGAGTTTGCTTTCCATTGATGATCTGAACATCTCCTATTACTGGAACAATAAACTTGCATGGCAAGTATGAAAAGAACTTTTAACGAGGTTATAAACTCAGAGTGAGTTTTAAACTCTGTGAAAAGAGTTGTTTGAACTAAAAATTCGGTTAATAGCCAAGTGAATTTGCTATTGCTGAAGGATGCCTCAAGATCTCTTTGTTGCCAAGAAGTTCTCTCTAGCTGATCTCCTGGTGATTTGATCCGAAAAACCAAACGTCTGACCCCTCCTTTCGGTTAAGCTTGTTGAGGTTTTTATAGGAAGATAAGGGGTGTAACTAACCCCTTAATCCGCTCCTAAGTGGGTGAGATTCCCTCAGATCGTGAAAAAAAACAGTTCTGAAACCATTTAGCTCATGTTTGAATGAGTCAAACGCCCATGTCGGCGTTCTGGGCCCTAACTCTGCGTCTTAGGCTTGAGACGCAGAGTTGGGCATCTGCTGAAAATTGAAAACACAGGGGCCACCAGTGTTTTGAAAATTGAACACATAGATGAACTCTGCGTTTAGAAGTGGTTGTTGACTTGTAACCTCTTCTATTGGAGCGTTTGCAAAGACCATTGTTCTATAATCTTTGCTTTAGCTATTTAGGATGTGAGAGTCGTCAGATTGTAACTCTCACGGTTTATTGTGAAGACTATTAAATTAGAACTTTCATCAGTCGTCGTGAAGGTCGTTGAATTATAACCTTTCTCGATCTACGTGAAAATCCTCCAATTGCAGCTTTCGTTTTATTGACGTGAAAGTCGTATGATTGTAACTTTCATTGTTGAGATGTTGATTGAAGTTTGATAGGGATCAGCTATCTGTTGTGTTTTTTTAGACAGCCTACATTATGCACTAGGCTCGAACAACTCAATCCATAAAGAACATGCATGCATGGATGCCTTCTCCGACTGGTTTTTCCAAAGCTTCAAATCATGCACATCAAACATTAGATGTAAGTTTATTATGACTTGATACACATGGATACTTAATCTTGGTTTCAGAATTAGCATGCTTTTATACTTGATCAAGTTTTGAGTGATGGAGGATCCTGAGCCTCCACTCACTAGATGCAATGCATCCTAAACCGAGAACTCGTTCTTGCTTTATCATACTTGCTATTGATTTAAGCATTAGCGCTAGATCCTTATAATCAAAAAATAAAAATTAGATCACTGTAATTGAAATATAAAAATTATTTTCTTCTAAGCGTCGGTGATTCCTCGTCAATGTTCGTCCTAGGGAACAACAATTTTCAATCTTTCTTGATCCCTAGCTTGGATCAAAACTCAATTAAATTAAAATTCACTTTTTACCCATAATTCTTAATAACAAAGAGAAACTTTTGGAATAACTTTCAACCTAAGATATTCACTATATCAAAATCTACCATTAGAGAAGCTCGAAATTCTCTTTCACCAAAAATAAGGACAACCATTTCGCTCTAATTTTCCAATCAACAACATTAATCCACACATAGAGAACCAAATTACTCATGAAAAACCCAACAAAATTCTAAGAAATATATGATTGTAAAAAAAATTATATTTTGAATAACATGGGTCCTTCTGTTTGATAAATATTGTCCAAAAACTTCGCATCTAAGAGATTTTCTCCCCATGACAAAGATCCCACAAATTAAAGTTAACCAAAAACAAGATTTTTTAAAAGGTCAAAAAATGGAACAAAGAATGGTCTACGAAACTTATATTCTCAAAATTTGAAATGAAAAGGTTGGCAAGTATAAAACGCCTTCTTTGATTTGTGAGAGAAAATGAGATTTCATACGAGGGTTCTAATAATGTGTCGGGTCTAATGAGTTTCCATTAAGCCTTTATTGATTAATGACCCCATTAGAATGATTCCATGCCCTTTTAAACTCCTAAAACATTTATGGAAAAAATCATTGAAGCCCAAAACTTTAATAAACTCATGAAAACCAAATTAAAAATCCACGTCACGAAAAAAGTGTAAAGTGACACATGTCATGATCCCACCGTGCGACATAATCTAACGGTTCAAAACTATTCGGATTGGATTAATGGTCTAGATTTAACCGATCCAAGGTAGGGTCCTTACACGTGGCTGAC